ATTACAGTTAATTTTTTACTTTGTCATCAGAAAGAAAATGACAATAACAAATGCTATGTTAAATAACTTTTTTGCGACATAAATGAATTTTGAGATGTGATGAAAGAGCAATTTAAAAAACAAGCAGGATTCAATATATTCTTGATGTGCAAGGTATAAAAGAAGAGATAAACCTATTTCACATTATCTCTACACCTACCCATTAGTATTTCTCGGACTTTTATAAAAACAGAATGTTCGAAAGGAGAAAATACTAGGTCACAAAAATGTACACTAGGACATCAGCAAGCAAGGTCAATTCAATGCCATATGTCAAAAATTTATCACACAAAGTTTAAAAAAACAACAAACCTACAGAAGAAATGGGGAGTGCAATCCTATCTTCAGATTTTCATATAATAACAAAAGCTAGCTAATATGTGAAATTAAATGGACTAACATTCTTTTTTCTATAAATGTAAAGCCTTTATACACAGATGTATATATGGCACTGACCTTCAAAATGATTCATTCATCAAAAAAGCTTCTTTCCAGTTGGTCATGAAGAAATAAAAATATGATTCTCAGTTTCTTGCTATCCTCGGGAATATATCTAGGAAGGACGGACCATACTTAGCACTGGTTTCCATTCATGCAATATTTGTGTAAAAAACATCCAAACTTTGACAAAATAAATGCTTGAAAAGCATGAGAAAGAATAAACAGCATAAATCCCCTATGAACCCCTTTGAAACGCATTAAACTTACAGAAAACAAATCTGGGACAACACTAATTAAGTGCAGAGTAGAAAAATGTAGACAAAGAGGCAGCACCAATTCTCATATAAAGACTTGATCATTGTTACTATAAATATTCAGATCTGAGACACTAAACGTAAGAAAGCATAAATAAGAAAAATGATACAAGAAATGTAGAAGAGTTTTTGCATCATGCGTATACTTATGTGGGACATGGACAAAAATACATGTCAGAAGAGAGAAAGGGAATGATGAGATTTCAAAGATAGCAATCTATTTTCATCAGTAAGAGGATTTTGATGAAAACAAACTCTCTGTATAAAAATATCTTTGTCACAACTTGGTATGTCAGCTTATATGAAAGAGAATGTGCTGAGAACATAATAATATATACAGGGAAGAACCATCACAGTCCCATAACCTTGCTGTATGCATAGACCCACTATACACAGAGCAAAATGGAATTCAAGTGGAATGTGAAATCTTTAAATTAAAAAAAATTGTGTAAAGTCAAACATGTAAAGTAGCAGCTGGTAAAAAGCTTCCCTAAAGGTAATCGATTCAAATTCAAGTAATCATCTATTAGTCTAAGGCCAACTTCTGTATGAAAGACAGCACAAAGACGTTTATGGTTTTCAACAGTCTTTTGGTTAAACAATGACTAACTGAACACAGTAAGACAAAGTTCTTTTTCTCTCTTTCCATATATTGACCATATAACTAATGGTATACTGACTAAGCAATATATTCAGTGCGCTTGCAGCTAATACACATTTGAGAAAACAACTTTTAAAAAAGTAGTCCTTTTGCTAGTCCTGTATTTGTTATTTCATCTTCAGCAAAAAAGAAAAGTAAAAAGATAAGGGTTTGTAAGAAAAATACAAGTATTACAAACAACATTAAAAGAAAAAAAAAAGATTCTGTCAACTGACAGAGGTCCTTTTCATTCTGAAAACAAATTGTCTACTAGTGAGAACTGTTTCACATCTTAATGAACAAATTTGGTTGAAATCACAAAGCAAATACACTTCGACACTGATGACACTACTTTTGGCATGGTAATAATAATGCTGCAAGAAAGTTTTGGTACAAACCCTAAAAGCTCCCATAATACTGATTATCAAAGTATAGGGTTTCAAGCAAACACATTGTAACTGACCACTAACATATAAAAAGAAAACAATTCCAAACCAGAAATAGCTATAAACAACCCCCTGCTAACCAAATTGTGACAAGAACTTATATGGTTCACATATTCTTGCCCTACCCATGACTCCCTTCCCCTGCAAAATCAAAGAGGTATGAAGTTGTCATTAAAAATTTCATGGATTGAGTATCAAATAGGATTGAGAAACCCTGCTGCCAGGTACACGAAAGCATATATATATCTTGTTGCTTTGTCATCCTACACTTTTTAATGCTGTGGTTATCAGTTCCCAACCCCTAATCACAAAAGCCGATATTTAGTCAACGCTTCTAAAACAATAAAATCACAACTAGCCAATTAGCAAACAGCATCCAAGCAGCTTTCATGTCATGAGTCACAGCACAACACACTATGCAACAGCAGGGGGTTTCAAGTTTCATATGGCGGGGCAAGTGGGTCCAGGTCAGTACACACTTTAAAAGGAAATTGCAAACACAGGAGCTTTTCCCCACACATAATTTTAAAAAAGTATAAATAAATTGTTAATTCACTTGTAATTGACGACAGCAACACCTTACAAATAAAGCATACAGAGCACATCAGTCACTTCAACAAATATGACCACATTCCCCTGGTGGTACATATAAGTCAACTTTTAATAGGCTTAAATAAGAACTCACAGGTAACTTCACCAGGTGTTGGATATGGAAACAGGTACTACACTTATTGATATGATTCAATTGTAGTATACAGTGATCAACAATTTAACTATCAAAGTATACAACAGACTACTTCGATAACGATACTAATCCACTCCCATGAGCACATGTGGTAGGAACCCCTCCCTTAGTTAGCCTGGACTGGATGACTCGGCCCTCGCAGGATGGACAATATTATTTTTCCACCAACATGTTTCTACAAAGGCAGGGGGAGCCACCAGGTTTGCACACTACACAAAGAGATAACAGTTCGTGACAGTGATGTCCACCACATAAACGAACCGGGGCTGCTTGTGCCCACTCTGGGACACAGAACCTCAAGGGCAAGTAAATGGGGGCGCCCCAGCTATGTCTATGAGGGTGGAAGGCCCCGATGTCTGACGCTTGCTCTAGTATTATATAATATAACCTCTTTGACACTACATTATCATGTTGCTACCCTTAAATGTTTGTTCAGCTAGCAACTGGTCCTACAGTTGCTGAGTCATTACAAGCACTGGAAGTGGGGCCACCTTAAGCAACCCTTGTAAGAGAAGCTATGAATTTCCAGATATCTGCTATAAACACTTAAAGAAATCACCTTTGTTTCCTTCTGTAAGGCATTCTTATCACAAAGGATATGAAAGAAAAATACTATGTAGGCAAAAGGTATTCTATTATGCCATCACTCAAGAGGAAGAAAAAATAAACTGATCTTCGAATGGGTGTTACAGTTTTGTCAACCCCCCCCCATGTTCCTTTCTCAACTAAATACTAGGTTAATAATCTATCTAAAACGACGGTCAATCAAATAATTTGAAACATCGGCCAATGAAACATTGGCTCTCGTTTACCAAGTCAAGTTCCAGACACCAATTTGTCTGCTAAGCCTTCAAGCAATAACACAATTTCGTTGCACAAAAGTTCTCATAATTGTTCTGTACAATGGTTTATTGAGACGCCTGTCAAAAAAGACATCCAAATAAAACAGCAAGACTTATTTGAAGTGTTTCAATTTGATCACTCATGTGTTGCAATTTCATCATAAACTTTCTCTGTATAATCTTAGTATAAGTTCATTTCCTTCTAAGGCCAACATAATATTAAAAGTGAAGTTGTGGTAAACAAACAAATAACAGTTCTAAAAAGACTGTCACTATCTAACATCCACAAATATGAGTCTACTTATATTTGGAAGGGGATTGGGGCAGACAGGATTGTGGTTTAAATGGCTCAGAATCAGGGTCCTCAGAGCTAACTCTTTTGGTTGTCTTCTTTTTTATCCAGGTCTATCAAAGGGTAAATTCATCTTTTCTCTCTCCTCGAACCATCCCTCTCATGAAAAAAGCCCAGTAAAAATGTAACAAACCATATTAGCCTGGGGTTAGCTGATGGATTTGGTGGCAGGAGCACTAGGGAACCAACTTTTTTCTTTTACGTTTTCTGCCTTTAAAAAGAAGGAAAGTGTGGAATTGATTTCCTCTTGTATATCGTTACTGTTGATCCACTAAATAATTTTTTTAAAAAATAGTAGAGGGTTTTACGGCGCTCGCAACTGCATAAGGTCAAATGAGCGCCAAGGGGTGGGTGTCAACAGAGAAGTCTTTACAGGGAATCAGACTTACTCTGCTCACCTCTCTAGTTTCAACAGCACAAGGTCTGCTTCCATTATCAAGGCACCCCGGAAATAACAAGTCACAAAAATGTGACAAACATACAAAAGAAGTAGAGGAAAATGACAAAAGTAAGGATTAGGAAAGAAAAAGCAGCAGTTCCCTGTTGTAGATCAGGCACAGTTATGAGCGTGACATGAATCAGCCCATTTACAATTCTACTGTGCTGGAACGATTACTCTTAAACGAACCCAAAAACTGAGAATATCAAAAGTAGACGTACTATATTTGAGGCAGCGTGATGGAATCAGGCTCTCGTCAAAATAATCAAAGTGAAAAAACCTGCATTTTTCTGCAGGTTTGTGAATTTTTATAAAAAAATTTTTTTTTGCCTCAACACCTTTCATGTCCATTAAAGAACTCATTTCTGGGTAAATTTTTCTGAAAAGGTTAGATTAAAGGCACAAAAAAGTAAATTTTCAGTTACAACAGACTCTCTCTGAAAACAGGTGACCCCACCTCCTTCTTTCGCTAATATCGTGACTTGTATTCAAGATAAATGGATATTTTTTAAATCCAAATAAAGACAAGTGAACAAGCTTTAAGATGATACCAATAACTCTACATGCCCAAAATTTGACGAGAGCCTGATTCCATCACGCTGCCTCACATATATTTCTACACTGAACCGAAAGGTAAGTGACGAAAGAGAAGCAGGCATAAGACGAAACTGGAACAGCTATGATTAAAGAGGAACAATCGGCTGTGAGTTATTTATAGCAATATTTCTGAAACACGATTTAATTTTTTGGCTAATTACCTTGTCTCATCTTAAGTATAAAAGTTGGAATCTTGAAAAGACATTTATAATTCTGCATTTAACAGAGGCAGCACGGGAAAGATAGAAGTGAGGTCTATAACTGGATATGACAAAATTGGCTCAATAGACCAAACATGAAAAACGAAATAAAAAAAATTATGTGAAATGGAACCTGGTATTTGTGTCCACTTTAACATAATTATCTTCTCATTTGTATGAACATTTTATCTTGTACGATGAATTCAGAACTTCAGTACCATTATTTTTATGACCTCAAAACAGAATAATATAGTGTTCAAAATCCAGCTTGGAAAAAAAACCCCCAGTATCAAGTGAGTAAACACTGAAATGAAGGAGAAGACTCAAAGAAGGATAGAGCCCATGAAATACCCACACTCAAATGAAAACAATCAAAAGAAAACAAGCATTAAGCATGTTTTGATATTTGTAACCATTTTGATACAACTGCCATTTTGAAGAATCAGTAAATAAATATTATCACATTTGTGAAGATTTGGTCTAAATCTGGGTGTGGCTTCAGGCACACTTGTGTCTATGCACACAGACACATATCCACGCAAAAATTACATAAAGACGAACAGCAACTAACTTGGTCCAAACATTGTATACCTTTGATATAATCTCTACCTGCATAGAACTTCCAGCAGCACATAACTTTAGCACAAATTGAATATAAAGAACATATTTTTCATCTGATCTTCATCACACCTCATTTGAAAAGAAAACATTTAGAATTAAAAGGCATATATATGGCAAAACAGAGCACAACGTAACCTGTTATCTATGGGTCTTGCTGTTCAGCTACAGCCATACAACAGCTCATACAATAATCAGCATTATTTTACCATACTGATAAAAGGGAAGACAGATTGAAGCCAGTGCACAATATAGTGGAAAAAACCCCCAAACAATTAAAATGGGATGCTTCAACCGTCCAAAGCTTTCTTCTAGAAAATAATCCTTACAGTGCTCAGTTAGTGACACATCAATATTCTAGGCCATGACCACATACATGAAGACAGGTTCAAACTAATTACAGCACAGTAATAATTATTATTTCAACATTTTCAGTCCCAAAGAAAATGTGACAAATTACTAGAGCACCCAGTAATAGGAACATAATGTTGATTTTTCCTCCTCATTATATTTTACAGATACACACACTGATTCCTAACATTTTCACAACACTAGTTACACACTGATAAGAAACACATTCATAACACTGGTTACACATTAATCCCTAACACATTCATAACACAAGTTACACACGGATCCCTAACACATTCTCAACACTAGTTACACACTGATCACTAACACTAACACATTCATAACACCAGTTCCACACTGACCACTAATACAACACCAGTTAAGCTTTCATCCTACATGCACTCTTAGTTCTCAACTCTTTGTTAAAATAGTATTGCTTCTGAAAGATGTAACAAAATGCCGTCATGGAGAACAATTTAATTCCGTTTTTTTAACAATGGAATAAGAGAACACTACCTTGGGATATGCATGTCCTACAGTTCAGTGACTAAGTCTGACCTGTAGGCAGCCATGTGAGGAGGTCTCATGTACATATTGTGCTGGCCCAGTTGTTGTTGTCGGTCAGAGGAAAAACTGCTACCTGAAGGTTGGTTGCTGTGGGAAGACTGACCGCGTCCTTGATGGGAAGCCATATACTGGTGATCATACTGGCGGTGGATAAAAAACACAAAATCATGATGCCTGGCGGACAAGAAACACAAAATTATGAAGCCGTGAAATGAATTGCTAAACTACTGACCAAGTTCCAAAACAAAAGGGAGAAAAGGAATGGTAATGCAAAGAAATAAAATTCTATAAACTGGGCATTTCTTCATGACTATGATGACAGTTATAAAAGCACCGAGTTAAGATTTAGAACAATGCAATTTCATTTTCAGCAATAGGACTTCAAAGATTAACCCATAAAATGAATCGATATTAGAGAAACACCACCTACATGTTTTGTCATTGTATTGAAAACTCGGAAATGTGGCTCGGGAAACTCACATATTGTGTCAGAAACAGACCCATCTTACGGGCAAGTTTCTGATTTACACATAAATGTGCACATTTGTTTTTGAATCCAAGTCCTCTTTTAGTACAGAACATTTATTAAGAAAAGTGAATGCATGTGTCAAGACGCGGTAGAATCAGGTGGTCATCAGTTTTTGGGTAATTGGAGTTACCGGTAACATATTAAAGTCTGTTCATTTACCTTGCTTTTGGGGGAAAAAAATATCCATCCCTCTTGAACAGAAGATGAATATTTGTAACTGAAGGAGGTGGGGGTGGCCTGCTAGCTTAGGAATAATTAGTGAGAAATGTTTAAATTTTTTTTTACAGTAGAGGGCTTTAAGGCGCTCGCAACTGCATAAGGTCATATGAGCGCCAAGGGGTGGGTGTCAACAGAGAAGTCTTTACAGGGAATCAGACATAGACTGCTCACCTCTCTAGCTTCAACAGCACAAGGTCTGCTTCAACTATCAAGGCACCCCAAAATAGTAGGTCACAAGAGAGTGACAAACATACAAAAGAAGTAGAGGAAAATGACAATAGTAAGGAAAAGGAAAGAAAAAGCAGCAGTTCCCTGTTGTAGATCAGGCACAGTTATGAGTGTGACATGTGTCAGCCCTTTTACAATTCTACTATGCTCAAATGAGTTTGAGAGTCCTTGGAAACTACATATTTACTTTTTTGGAGCTTTCAGTCAATGTGTTTTAGAAAAATCCACACAGAAATGTATTGTTAAATGGACATAACAGGTGTTGACCTCGAAAAAGAAAAATTAATTTACAATTTGCCCAACGGGTGGAACATGATAACTTCTGTGACTTCATTAACACATTATACCCTAAGGGTCTGGATGGGAAGTCCATTGTTAGATCCTCAGCAAGGGGAAGGAACCCACCTCCTGTGAATACAAACCTTTAAAAAAACACATCTTAAAAATACTAGACAAATTCCTAAAATCCTGAAAAAATAAAAGTTAAAACGAATAATGAATGTAGTTTCAGAAAAACATAACTATATGTAAGCGCAAACTGTAGAAAATGTTCTAACTTTAGTTCAATCGGGGTGTCCCACCCGCCACTCTCACTCTCAGCCTCGCGGTCGGGCCCTTGATCTAAATTCTAGATTTTCTACGTCTGATCAATCTGAATCGCTCCAAACTCTTGCAACAACGTTTTCATCAAAATCTGAGTCATCTGATATGTCATATGCTTGTTTTTGCTCAAATCCATCGTTATTTCCTTTTTCAAACTCAGTTGTGTTGCTTTTCATTAGTCGAGACACCTACGAAGTGTTGGTAACACGATTGCACTTCTATTGGCTCTAATACTAAAACTACTAGCCTGAAAAATTTCGTTTCGGTATCAAGCGAAAGAAGAAGCTTTTTGGAATAACTATGCAAATCAATCAAAATCTCGGCCCCAGAGTCACGGGGCAAGACTTTGTATCTAAAGACTCTAGGTCGGCGCGGGCGGTTCCGGGCAAGTCAGGGAATTCTCGGGCGAGTTAGGGTGTAATGTGTTAATTTGACTAGTGCCTGATTTCACCATGATACCTCACATATATGTATACCTGAGACAATCTTGCATTGTAGGAGTTTGCATCTCTTGACTGCTGTGGAGACATGTTACTGGCAGGCGTGCCACTCTGGTGGCTGTGAGAGCCACTGTAGCCACTACTGGATGGTGACTGGCCTGGGTGACCGCTGTCCATCATCCCAAGGTGATGATACTGGCTGCGAGCCGGTGTGGTGGCAGAGTTTCCAGAGAAGTCTAAGGCCTGCCGTGAGTTTGGAAAATGGTGGTGATGATCATAGTAGCCACCGGTGCCCATCTGTCTTGGAGGTGTGTTGGCCGAATCATATGTCACAGACCTGTGAATAAACACACACAACCAATACAAAGTCAAAAAAGTACCGGATGGTTAGTAAAATCAAACTGTTACATCAAGTTCATCATGGAGGGCATAAACTATCACACATGAATGAAAACTGGCAAAGTCCTTTGTCTCCATAAATAAGGAAACATGATATCACATACTGATATAGCCACTAGTGCAAAGACAAAAATATCATTGAACCAAAACTATTTGACAATGTCATTTACTCGGCAACCTTGACACAAAATATATCTGGTTTCAATCTGCTGAGGTGAGGCTTTCCGACACACAAGCTGTTACTACAGACACGCCTAACATACAGTTTTCAAAAGTGCCCCAAGCTGCTGACACAGATGTGCTCATTGTTGATAGCTGTTCATGGGCCTTACATCACTAGGAATGCATGCAGTTCTGTTTCATGAGACAATCTTCACATTGCCTTATACAAGCAAAGATTGGTCACGCATTGGGGAAAAAATAACTAAAAAAAACAACAAACTATAATCAAAAAGCAGTAAAACAACTTCTTTCCGTTCCATACCCTAGTATCAATTTTAATTACAAGTTCTTCCAACCTAGTTCATCTATAGCGTGTTCTACAAGACATCAGACCCTCATCCCTGAAACTTACATCTTCACTGAAACAGGCTAATCTGTAAAAATGCAATATCCCAATACACCCCCCCCCCCCTTCAATCCCATAATTCTAGTCAAGACATCAGCAACAGCTTATAACCTCACCTTTGAGTACCTCTGACAGGACTGCTATCTCTTATATTCCCAGCATAATGAGACGTGTTGACCCTCGGAGGGGAACCACCCATCTGAGGACTCATCATGGTCCTTCCTCTGACAGGAGATGAAGTGCGATCTTGAGATGGGCGAGGCTGAGGGTAGTTGCTGCCTTGGGGTGAACGATATCCATGCAAATCTCCACTGAACACTGCAGGGTTGATCTGGGGCCTACTGCTGTGGTTTGATAATGCCCTCCCCACCGAGCTCGTGCCGGACAAATGCTGCTGCTGCTGCTGTGGTGATGAGATGGGGGGAGAGCGATAACTTGGAGGAGGTGCTTGTCTTTGGCTAGAAAAGTCACTCGTGTTCCTGTCGGGATACGCTCGGCGCGAGTACGAGTCTCTGTCCTCCAAGTTTTTACCGTGGAAAGAAGAAGAAGCATCGTTGTTGTTGAAATACACAGGGTTTGGGTAGGCAGTGCTGGAAGAGTGTTGTGCATTTTGTAGACTCCCACTGCGTGCACTTCCGGGAGTGCCTTCCCCTCGGGGAGATGGCTGTGGTGCTCGCTGGTCATACTGCCACCCCTGGTCACTGTAACGCCCCTCTGGCCTGTACCTGAAAGAATGCACCAGGATGATTAGTAATAGAAGCACATAAACACAGCAAAAATCAGGCAAACATAGAAACCAGAGCAACATAGAAAATTATTGCTTTGAAAGCATAACACATACGAGGCAGAGTGGAAAAGCAAAATCAAAGAGTAAATATTATGGCTTAGCCGAGAAAGGGTGAATGAATTTAGTGCAAATGAAAGAATAACTCATATAAAATGATAAATAAAATGGCTTTCCTGGAATTCATCTTTCATTTCTTTGCTTCTTTTCATTTTTCACGATTATCACAATGAAAAAATAAAACAAACCTAAGCAAGTCTTGAAAACATCTAGATCAAAGAAACTGACATTTCGAACTGAAGGCACAAACTACTTTATAGTTAAAAGTTCAGGCTATTTTATGGCGCTCCTATGACCTTATGCAGTTGCGACTAAAACTAAAAAAAGGTTATTTTAGAAACATTGGGTACAGGGCAAAGCTGTGCATCACGAAACTTGCTTTGTAGAGGCTGCTGAAAAAAACCCCATGTCAATGAAGCTCACAAATTCAGGCATGTTCAAGGGGCATGAAACATAAGAAAAACTCTCAAAAAAGAATTCTTCTCTATGGAAAATGAAAAAAGTAACACATTTCTGACCACAGCATACTATTCATTTATCAAATTCTGACCTGATACTGTGAAGAAACATGCCAGTCACATCAGTCTGGCTTGAAATAAACGGGAATATGAAAATGGTTTGAAACATGCTAGGTTACGAACAAAGCTAAAAAATTATATCAAAGTACCCCATTCCCATTCAATTCAAATTATGTTTTTGTCTGATAGCACCAGTATGACCAAGTGGTTTAAATGATTTTCACACAGAAAGCATGAGGGTCCAACAAGAGGTATATCACATCTAAAGGAAAACTTAGGGCATGTGAGGAACAGAGGAGTCAGGCCGATCAAAGGAAGAATAGGTAAAAAAAAAAAAGTGCTCAGAATGCTGCACACACTACAGTAAACAGAAAAAGAAACAACCTTTCACAGAAGAACTTAAAGGGGCTTTTATGTATGCAAAAACAAAGCATTCCATTAAAAACGATAAATTCTCAATTTTCCATTCGACAGGGAAAAAGCAATTTTATTTACTTCTAAGCTCTGTGAACTACCACCACTACAAAAAAGCTGCAGTGCTAGACAGCTTGACACATTAACCGCTATAAGGAAGGAGTTTTGACAAATAACTAAGTGACAATTCTAATTGGAGGCGGGCAGGAGGTGGGGGGGGGGGGGGGGGGAGTGAAAACCATATACCATTCGGGGGAGAGGAGAAAGAGATAAACCATCAACACTGAGAACAACTCCATTGGTAAAAAAAAAAAAAAGAGGGGATGCTAAAACATTGAACAGAGACTACAGCTACTTGTGCAAGACTGCTTGAAGCTGACCAACTTAATAAAAGAATACAACATAAAATGTCACCTTAGTCTCACAGACTTAGCCTCTTCATGCACAGGATCTCCAACGTTAGAAACTGATGACGGTTGATTCTGATACATGAGTGGAGAATTAGAATGATGATATGGAGGATGGTTTGAGCTGTGAGATGATGCAGGGGCGGGTGATGGCCATGAGCTTATTGCTGAAGGTGAGCGCGGGCGGGCAGAGGATGATTTGGATGAGACTTGAAGCTGCTGTAGCGGCGGCTCGAGTAAGGCAAAACCATCTGTCTCTTGCTCACGCTGATGTGATTGTTCATAATGATTGGGTGGGAAATAGGACACACGTCTATTGTTATTAGCAGAGGGTGGTGAGGTTATGGCAGGGTTAAGGGGTAACACTTTGTTATACGTGCGATGAGGTGATTGTGATGAGCCAAAGTGATGAGTCTCATTGTCAGATTGTGTACCCCGCATTATATTTCTTCTACCATAACTCAGGTCAGTTCTTGACCTGTCATATCGAATTTCATCATGATTCGAGATCTGTCCTCGCTGATCATGAGCGGAGGGAGAGACAACAGACACTGCAGTGCCGTCCTGTCTCCGTGAGGACACGAGTGTGTCTCTGTCGCTAGAGTCATCCCCCTGCTGCCCACCGATGGCAGGTCTGTGGGGCAAGCAAGCTTCATGAGCAGACCATGCAGGATGAGGATAACTGTCACGACTGTGAGATGATGGCAGGCGAAAGCCTTCAGATGCATACCCGGACACACGGGAACTGCGTCTGTTATCGCTGGGGTGGAAATGCTGATCCCTAGGGTGCAAGTCCCCAGTAGTGCGCCGAGACGCTGCTGAAGGCATTGCAGTATGGCCATAGGGTGACTGCTGTAAAAAAAAAAAAAAAGTCTGAGCTAAAGAGGGAACACAAAAACAAAACTATAAAACCGCCACTATACAACAAAGCAGAGATTTTAAAAAATAACAGATTGTAGTAAGATAAGAAGGAAATAAGCCTTACCAATGGCAACAGCCTAACCAATGATCTAGTGCAAAGGTACTGTTAATAATGTTAAAAGACCTTAGAACAGACACTAACTTGGTATTGATTTATAATAGCAAAAGTAGAAAGAGGTCAATACACAAATACAACCAGTAGGCAAGAAAAAGAAATGCTACCTAAAGTTAGCAAGACCCATCCACTCATAACAACTACTGGCCTCGCTTAGTTTATAATTTGAGTTCAGTATTGTCAGGTGACAAGAACATTTTCACGAGCAGGTTTAGTGTAAACAAAAATTCCTCTAACATACAAAGGTGACATAGACTATGTACTAAACTTGTTCTTCATGTGACAATAGTAACTTGTTCTCTTTCATATTCTCTTTGTAAATACAATCAAAATTGTCCTAGAGGGCTGCCTAATGTCGAAGAAAAAAGTAATTGTCTAAGACGGCTTGGATGGTGTCATAATATAAAGAAAACCAGAAGTGAAGTGGAAAGTAGACATGTGTACAGGAGACTGTCTTAGACAGGTGGCTGTTAGACCAGGTTTGACAGCATTATCAAACCACTCTAGTTTCCCTCACGAACATAAGAGCTTGAAAACATACACACCAAGCCAGGTAGCGGTGGTGCTTAAAAAAAAATAAATAATAAAAAATAAAAAATAAAATAAAAATAATAAAAAATTAATTAATATACAAAACAAAGTAAACTGCCTATACCTGATTCAAATCCTCCGCCCATGGCTGAGACTGGGTGTCGTACCTGTTTGAATTAATAAAGCAAACATTTTTCCTACTATGCATCAAAACAAGTACAGCTGAAATTGTCCAAGATGGCTCATACAAGTGGACCTCTGGGACAGTGTCATATCATACAAGTGGACCTCTGGGACAGTGTCATATCGTACAAGTGGACCTCTGGGACAGTGTCATATAATATTTTAAAAAGATGGGGGGTGTTGAGGAGGAAGGAGTGGATGTTTTTACAGGTGACTGTCTGGACATGTGGTTGTGGTTGTCAGAGTAGGTTCAACTGTCATTATTTCCGTAAGCCATGGACAAATGAAAAATTCTGTAACTATACAAAGTCTTAATACCATTTTTGCTGAAAGCATTGAAAAAAGGTACTGAAATAAACTAAGAAAAAACATATTTGGTCTTTGGTGTTAATGTCTGGGGTTTTTTCAGCTTTTCTTCATAATTTCTGGCACCTTTTTAAGCTTCAATGTTCAAATACAAATTTTTAACTTATTTTTCATTCAGACAGCTGCATCTTTGCAGAGATCCCCCTTCTAATGCTATAATGCACAATTAGAAAGCAACCTTTCAAAATTTTCCACCAGACTTCTTATTCTAATCGTTTACTAGTTAAGTTTTCAATGTTCTCCTCATATTCTGCACTCTGAGCACACATTAAAAAATGTCTCATAACTAAATTATAGCGTTGGTTCTGTGCATATATTTTTTTTTTAAAAGGGGGGAGGGGAGAGGTTATTTACATTTCTGAGCAAAAAGAAGCACATTGACTAACTAAGGAAGTAGGACCTACAAGAAACGCCTCCAACAACCCCAAACCGAGAAAAGAGGTATGCTTTCAAGGACATGTCAAACTGATCTGTCAAAATACTTCAGATGTCAGATGTATGTGCGATTATAGTGGCAACCAAAAACTGAATTTGAAAAATCTTCCTCTATCAATGATACAAATCTATCTCTGTCACCAGAAAGATCTGTTATCAATACAAGAGAGTTTTCACACATTCTTAAAGTTTATGAGAGAACACCATAGTACAGTAAAATTTATTATTTTTAAATTCTCTTTCCAAATGAAGTCATAATGCCAAGAAAGCTAACCTTTAAATACACTAAATATTCCAACACAAATCTTACTCATTTCAGTACGCTTATGAAAACATATTCGAGCATGCTCTGAACCTTCTTCAGTATACCTTGAAGGTCTCCGCGTTGGTTCAGTATTATTACTGTCTTGTCTGGAGATTCCCTCTCCATCACTTCTTGCCCTCTGCATTGGTTCAGAATTTCGATCAGCCTCCCTGGCAAAATATAGTTGTACAGGATTCATTAATAACTTACAGAAGTGGTAGATGGGCAAACCTCTAGAAAGTCAACAATTAAGTAAACATGAGGCTTTATCAGCAGAATAAAGAGTCTAAATAAAATGATGAATACACAACTCTAAATATGCTCACACCAGACCTATTATTACCTGTATTACCAGTCCTGGGCAACAACGTCATTGCACACCGGACAGGTCCATAAGTGCTCAGTTCCCCCCAGCACCAAAGCCCGCAAGGTATCCATACTGATTGTTCCGGTGGCTGTTTGATTATGGCGATGTCTTTCCTTTCCAGATAATCGTTCCTTTCTTCCTTCTCCCCCCTCTATCCCCATTTCCCGCATCCTAATGATTGCGTGGTGTTCTGCTGTCTCCTTGTCTTCTTCATCCCGCAACCTTTTCTCCAGGGTCTTCAACACATCTCCTTGGTCAAATTTCACCTCACCATCAACCACGGCACTGCCTGCCAGCCTATCAGCCTCCTCATTGCCTTTCACTCCAGAGTGCCCAGGACAGAAAATCCACGTGATGGCTCTATGTGATGAGTGTTGTATTGGGTTCATCCATTCACTCCGAAGAAGCCCTTTCTCAACCCTTCGCAAGATGCTCTGGGAGTCCGTGACAATGATGAGATGAGTTGTTCTTGGTCTTGTATTATGAAGCCATCCAAGCGCTCTTGTTACGGCCTCAATCTCCATTTTCATGCTTGAAGTTGTTCTTTCTACGGCCCCTGACATGCCATGAACGTTTTTGTTCCCACTGTACACCACAAAACCCCATCCACTTCTGACTGATCCATCCGTATAGATCACTGGGTCCTCTGGCTAGCCAGACCTATTATTATTTCCCATCAATGTTACTTGAAGCTATCACATAGATATATTTTTTAAAAACACCTCAAAACGCTGTTTTCAGAAATTCACAGCCTTCCAATAAGCACTTACTTTTACTTTACTTTTCCTATCCAGTGGCCATCTGGGTTCTAGCCCTTCGGCCCGTCGATATGGCATAAAATTTACAGGTTCTTATCAGCTGCGTTTTGTCGCTGTATAAAGTATTTCCGATATCTGGGGAGGCAGGTAGGTAGGTGCTAAACAGGTCTCTAAGTGCAGGGCAGGTAAAGAGATGATGTGATACTGTTTCATCCTGGGAGTCACACAACGGGCAGTCAGGTGGGGAATCCTTACAGATCCTATTTAGGTAGGAATTCAGTGAGATGTGTTGTGTTCGCAGGCGAAAGATATTGACTTGTTCTCTTCTAAGGAGGGAATTTAGAGCATCTTTTGAGTAGGGAGCAGTCATGTTGGCAAATACAGCTCTTCCACACCAGGTTGTTTTTGTGACACTCTCTTCTTGGCAAAGGTGTCAGCTCTGTCGTTTCCTGGGATGTTGCTGTGGCCAGGTATCCATTGTAAAGTCAGGTCGACGGCATAGGTCTGCATGAAGGTGTTAATTGTTTAGGCCACAGACAAGCAAACTGGGCTTTCAAAATCCATGTTTTCCAAAGCTTGAAGTACTGATTTTCCATCTGCGAAGATTACAGTATCCTTGATTTTGTCTGGGCATATAATGAAAATGTTGGTCAGGTGGAAGACTGCTGCTTCAATGGCGATGGCCTCATAATTTGTACAAGAAGTACCACAAGCATCAAATAGTTCTTCACACGTCTTGTCAGGATGTTCTATTCTTATTCCAAAGCCTGCATTAATAGTCCCTTCCAATCTACAAGAAATATTATTCTGAGAAAATGTGTTTACTGCAAACATTATGTGGAAGATGTCACAACAAAAATGGAGTGAATGATGAAATGAGTTACAATCATATTTGGTACTTACCCAAAGCTCTTCCGTCGAGACGCCCAGATCTTCTGTCTGAACTTGGGGGAATACTTCACTCTAAAAAGACTAGCCTTTGTTCTGTAGATAAAAAACAAAAGGTAATGAACTGCTTCCTTTAATATAAGAGATAACCCCCCCCCCCCCAAAGTATAAATAGAGCAATAAACAAATCTAGTAAAACACTAATCTGTACACTGCTTGAAAATTCATGGAACAATTCAAACAGTGAAAGAAAAAAACCCTCATACAACACAAGTGTGTTTTAGACATTGCACCATACGATAAGATGTTATCATCAGTCAAATCTGTAACATTCGAAATGTACACAAATGCAAAATAAAAGCAAACACATGAGCAAAAAACTATAGTCAGCATATTTTTTACCTGAAAAAAAGAATAAAAAGCAGGAGGTGAAATGTGGCAGGAATAGTAAGACACTCACTCTACTTTAGTGTAAGGAATATCCATTAGCTGATCCTCAGTCATGCCCTCCGTCTCCACCAAATCAAATCTGAGGAAATTGTTTAAGGAATTATTCACTCACTCACAGCAAAAAGTGCAATATTAATCCATTTCATATTGAACCAAAACTGTCATATATCTTTTCATTAACTCTCTGTTAACCAAAGCACATTCAAGAATATCTCAATGAACGGAAATATCTAATTTTAAAAAAAGTTTAATTATAATGGTACATTCTTTTGACATTCCATCTTACAAATGTACAAAGTAAAAAACAGCCCATTACAAACTCACTCAATGTGTTGCTTCAACTCCTCAGGAGGCCTTTTCGTGTTACCCGGAGACTTGCTTCTTCTGTTAAAGAAAAATAGGGACATAGATACATATTTCATCGGGAATTCATCGGGTTTAGTAGTGTGTAGTACAGTAGTGGTCTCAAGCTAAAGGCATGCACCTCGGGTAATAAGAAAAGCCTGATTTATGCACTCATGCCATTAAGTAAATTATAATGGGTTGCAAACTGGAGTAAGTACTTTATCATCTGATCTCCTGCAGTGGATTGCTTCATTGAGCCCAAGTAGTGAAGTTTTCCTATGCTGAGCAATCACAGGCACAACCATCATAATTTCAGCACAGCCTCTCACACTGTCCACCTGTCACGCTTTCCCTCCTTGGGCAATCATCCCTATACCTCTTTTCCTTCAAGGCAAAGACGAAATTTTAAGTGCTTCTGACATAGTGCTTTTATTCACTTACTTTTAGCTAGAAACCACAGTATAAGATAAGTCAAGACGAACTGCCACATTTTGCGAAGAACAGAACAGATAAGGACAAAATAAATAAAAGAGTAAACGGCAAGGCATTAGAGCACCATCAACCACTGACAAAGAATTCATCTGTTCATCTTGCAGAGAAGAGAGAATTAACATTTTACTATACCATCTGCTTTGTTCATATGATCTGCACTTCTATAAAATTTAAGAGCTTTTTTTAAATAAAAAGAAAAGAAAAAAAAATATTTTAAATAAATAAACATGTGATGGAATAAGCAAGAAGAATGTTTTAGTACCAAATTAACCCATCCACCTGTATCATTTCACATGCTTTACTTTCCAAAATGAACAAAAGCCTTCAAATACGCATAATCACCTTCTCCTTCTCCTTTGCTTGACCTCGCCAGCTGGTGCAGAGTGTAAGGAAGGGATAGAGCTGTAGACAAAATTTTTTTTTTTTAAATGGATTAAAATACCAAATTCGATGACCCTGACAACAGAACACAAAAAGTAGCACAAAATAAAATTCGGTTACTACTGTTTCTTCCGCAGACCATGGAGGAAAGCAATGAGCACTGTTAATATTTAACAGAGGGATGAGAGTAAAAATGAACGATTTCTTAAACATTTATATACCTCACAATAAATGTAAAAAGATGTGTATAACGCAGAGGTACTTACCCATTTTGCCTGTTTTCCTTATCAGTAAGAGGGAATAACCTGAAACATATAAATACATGACATTTTCAATAAAAATTACCAAAAAAATATGAACCAGAGAACAACCCTAAGTTTCAATGTGACATATTTCAATATCAACAACTCAATTTGCACACACAAAAAATACATGCATGTTCAAGATGGATCATAATGTTCATCAAAGTAACAAGTGTTTCTTGCTACACAACAGCTAAACTCATTGCATGATATACACGAAGAACCTGTCCACACCCTTATTAATCAATTTTTTTTTCACAATGATAATGTTGACCTGTTCCTCTTAAGAATCAACATTAACAATAAACAAACTAACCATTTTTGGCATTCACTAAAATAATTAATAACAAATAGTTCGCATCTTTAATGTAGAAGTTACATGCTTCGCTGGCGCATGCAAAAGACGCGAGTTTGATTCCCATGTAGAAAGAACTTTTATGGAGTATCTCAGAGTCTTTCTGCTGGGACATTGTATCCCTCTTATGGGTCTAAGCCTGCATCATAAATTATCAAAACTGTGTCGATGAGGTGTAATAAAAATCTACATTAAAAAAAAATAAATGCATTTACAACTTATAGGAAATCATTTCCTAAAAAGAGATTGAAATTAATGAACTAATACAATAACACTGACTTCCCCATAGCCACATTTTCTTTGACTATCCCAAAGCTCTGAAGCATCTACTCACATGCGAACACTGTTCTTATTGTGATCTTTGGGAGACTGGAAGTTGTGCTTCCTCCTGCCCTGACCAGAGTTTGAGAGTGACACATCAGAGTCACTGTCACTGTCGATCTCTCTCCTGAAGTGCACAAACCAATATCTTAATTTTTAAAAATTCTAACAAAAAAGCTACAAAAGTATAAAAACATAAACCAACTATAATAACACAACACAAACAGCAAAAACAAAGTAAAAATGTAACATTATTCAAATTGTCTAACTTTAGGCCTCACAAGCTTCAAAATTCCGTTTTGGATCCTGGTGATATTGAGATGAAGAACTGGAAAGCTGAAATTTCAAAAAGGAAAAATTTGAGCAACTGCATGTGCAACTGTCTCAAAAGCTCAAAGACAACTAATGAATCAGTCTCTAATGCACACATCGGCTAACAAAGCACAAAAGAACATGAAACAAACACAAACCTCCGCCTTCGGGATGGTGATATATCGCTGTCATTGTCTGAACCTTTACGACCAGGAAAGTATCTGCAAAGAAGAGTTCCATAACTGTATAATATGCATGAACTCCACAAAACGAAATTCTAATAAATGGTAAAACAAAACAATCTCTCTTAAAATGAACATCATCCTGAACTCAATTAGCTTCTAAAGTGAGCAAACAAGGAAAAGGCACTAAAGATGTTTTTCTAATGATCTAGCACCAATGAAATTGATAGCACATACAAAATCGAAGATATCACCCTTTCTATACAAACATTTAAAGAATCACTTAATACCTTGCTTTAATTACTTGCTTCCTTAACCTGTTAACATTCAACTAAAACTAGTATAGACAGAATAACACGGACTATCTATAAAAATGCATCCTCATTTTAAAAAGGCCAAAACATGAAATTCCCAATCACAGAAACACATAAAACCACCAGCCTCACATAGGAAACAGGCGGTTAAGGATACAATTCCCAACAAAGCTGTACTTACTTTTTCCGCTGGCTAAATCCACTCTCACTGTCACTGCCCGACACAGCTCGGCCATGACGTCCTTGCACGTGTCTCTCACTGGGTCCAGACGTGGGAGAGTCGTGGCCTGATGTGTACAGCCCACTGAGAGGAGTAAATCATGTGATAGTTTTAGTTTTTTAGTGAATTCAGTGTCACTTACAACACAATTAGATCACAAAAATGCTGACCTAAATAAAGATGTGTTACTGGAGAGAAACATACAAAGAAAAGGAGGACAGGTAAGGATGATAAATGTTTGATAAGAAAGAAGGAGCAAACCCCACAACCAACCCACTGTGATAGTAAGAAAACCCAAAAGTCAATGTGGTAGGAGCTCTAAAATGTTGTGTCATCATAAACACAAGCACAATTATGTTTCAGGTGAGAGTTAAGATAGTCAAGGTTTAGGGTAAGAGTATGCTACAGGGTGGGTGGGGTGGTCAAGTTCCAGCTGAAAGTTCTAAATATGTTCAGTGATTTCAAAGTACTCCTGGGAACATAAAACACTATTTCTTTTATTTTCAGGCAAATTATCTTAAAGACTTGTCATTAAAATGGTACCTCTCTGGTCTTTGTCTTCTAAAAGCATCTAACACTCTGATAAAGGCAAAGGAAGAACTTTGCAAGCAGGACGTGGTGCAAAAAAGAACGTGGATTGTATCTTTCACTTCACCCTACCCTTCTCAAGCACAAATGGGAATCTATGCATAAGGCATCTGGTAAGTTAAAACTTAGTTTAGTTTTATTAAGCCTTTGCAGCACTTGCAACACAATACGGTTATATAAGTGAAAAAGATTAGATTTGTTCCAAGAGAATAACAAACACAAGAAGAAAGGTAAGAGATAAAATAGGGATAATAGATGTTTGATAGAAAAGAAGGAGCAAATCGCACAGGAGCACCAGCCAACCACCCACTGTTTAAACATAATTTCTACCGATGAGAATGAAAAGAAATAAGTAAAAATCAGAATAAAGTACGCACTGGTCAAACTTTGACTCCCATGGGGCAGACTTAACGCTTCTTGGTGACTCTCTTCCTTGCAGCTCTGGTAAAGACCTGTGACGAGGACTGTGGAGAAGAAAACAGTTTCCACAGTTATTTTTTATACTATCTCTACAATGATGTGCAGAGTAGTGATGAGTGGTCAGTAAACAAATAGCAGCCATAATTTCACAAAGAAAAGATTAAGGCAAAAGTAACTTATAAAAGAATTATAAAAAGGCACACAAAAACACCCACGCACTACAATCTGCAGACAAATCAGGTACAAAAGTTAAACCAAGACATCAGAAAAGAAGATAAATGTATCATGATATGGAGACAAAAAAAACAAAAACCCAGAGAGCACACTGACAGAAAACGAATCACAATCAACTGAAATAAATTTATTTTAAAAACAGTTTATTCAAAAATATGTAATCTTCTGTACCAATTCACAATAATTTACAAAGCAATGCATCAGTACAGAAACACAAGGTGGCCAAACAATTCATTTACATAATATTACAAGCATTGCTTTTCTTTCTAAACATAACAAGATTTTTGACAAAATCTATTGACACATTCAATCTATTAAGAGTGCAATACCGCTAAGAGTGCAAAACTGGATTATGTTGTTATCGATCCAGCGACAAACCGGATTATAAAAATAATTATTAAAGGAAAAGCTCAAAAGGGCCTTAATTCTATTCTGACTGAACCACATCTGATGCAGCATCTTTACTTCCATGACGTGACATAGAATCTACATCGGAAATTTTGGGACTGAACATCTATTAGAACCACAAACTTCCCCAGACTTTTGTGTCGTGAACAATACTTACGCTCTGACCGGCTCTGGCTGCCCCATCGAAGTGATCATTCCAACGTCAGGTCTCGGGTAAGGCTCTCGGTACGCTTGGTCTGCTCAACACAGGGATATCATTACATGGAGTCTTGAGGGTTAACAGTTGGACAGTGCAATTTATAACTTGAGAATAGTAGAACATGACAAAAATGAATGGGATTCACTTCAGATATTTTACTGGTTACTGAGGTAGCAAATAGCACTTTCAGGCATCAGTCATCTCTTCAGCAAATCATTAAACATTAGAAACCCTTTACTAAAAATTTCTTCATAGGCTCTGAGCAGTAAGACAATATAAAAAATAAATAACACAGGCAGCACATACTTTGACTTAGCAGAGAACTGACACTTCTGTATGGTCAAAAAACATCATATGATATTAGGATGAGAACATTTATAGAAATAATTTCCATACTGTTTAATCTTGAATCAGAATTGACCCTTCGTGGCTGACGTCGACTGGGAACTCGAAGAACGCTGGGCTCCTGGCCAGATGACCGCAAATCATTTCCAGCAGCCAGCCGCTCTGAACGTCCACTGAGAATAAAGAGAGGGAAAAAGGAGTAAGAAAACAGCTCCAGGCATTTGTGTTACTATTTACTGCGGATTCACTACCAATCAGAACATCAGTTGTATATCTAAACAACATTACAGTACAACAGATTTATTGTAAGCATAAGAATAAAAGTCTGTTGTTATAAAATTCAATCTCGATGGGGAAATCATATTTTCAAACGCCTCCCCACTCTTTTTACTTTCCAATCAGTTCAAACACACAACAGTGTAAAACACAAATATGCTCCTAGCCTATTGATTTTCAAATGTGAATGCATGAGACCATTTCTTTGAAATTGTTAAGTCTTTACCCACTTCATCTTTTCAATGCTGTTATATGATATACCTGGGAAGATATGAAATACCATCGAGAGGCTAACTCTGGATAGGGAAAGGTGGAAAGTGTTTTTCGTGATGTATACCCTGCAAGGCTTTAATGATGAAATGGTATACCTAGAACAATGTACTCGCTGACCTGGAACAAAAAAAAGTTCCTTACTCGGGAATAAAGTATAAAAGATTGTACATTTTGAGACTGGGTTTGTGCTCCATTCATTGTCAATGGGGTAGGACTAATAATTGAGTCATGAAAAAAAAACAACCACAGGACTGTGTCTATGGATAATGCACTGACTTTACCTCAGTATTCCCCTAAAATTAGCGAGACAAACTTTACTCCAAATTCAAAAGTCAAACTTTTCCAAATTTTCCTAAAAACGGATATTTGTCTTAATGTAGTAGACTTACCTTTCAATCAATTTATATTTGTTAAGTAATTCAACAGACAAATATGATCAAGGAAAAGGTAACAGAAAGACAACACCAAATAAAACTTGCCCCAATTTAAAAGACACCAAAAATCTTGACTAACAAGCTGAGGCGCTAAGGCTACTGCATATGAAAATTGAACATAAGGTCAATGACCACAGACTTAAACCCCAAGAAAGGTAGCCAACATTCATTTTGCAATTTGAAAAATGACACATTTTCAAATTAGAACTGAGATTTAAAAGAAAAAGAATAATTATCTATTATCCATAAAACAAAACATTGTTTAAACCATTTATAGACCGAGTGCAAGAGAGTTGGCAATCACATAATAGTGAAGTTACTTTGAAAATGTGCATATAGTACAGACTGATCAAATCTTGTTTCCTGGTTCACAAAGTAAATAAAAGAAACACTTGAAGCTGTTATTGTGGAAGACACTGTCTATGTTCAGCATAATCAACAATACATCTTGAGCAGAAGCATACATAATATTTACTTTCTTTAAACGTACACAATAAGGCGCCAGTCAAAGCTACATAGAGGCTTATTGAACTAGTTTAAATGTGCCATTAGAAAATGTATCATATAAACTATAATGAAAAAAAAAATTATGAAACTAAATTTTTGAAAATGAATAAAGAGTACAGAATAACTACAGAGCAACTAAGATCTGTATCTACTGAAAGAAAGCACCCCTGTTCTACTTGAACAACATTCAAATCATGACTGAGACAATAACAGAAGCTGTTGAGGAGTGTAGGAAAAACAAGCCAAAGTCACATTATAAAAGAAACGGTTTATTCACCCTGGTTATTTTTGTCAACAAGCAGCAAACACTTAGAAAAAAAAGTATGACTTTGTTTCTTCAAACCCACAAAATACGAAAACTATCATATGTATGCATTGCACATAACTTAAGAGATTTTTTTGTGATGCTAGTAAGAAAGAAAATAAAAATAAATCTTCGATAAACATTTAAAATTCATTAACAGATATTTTAATTTTTTTATCGAGGCCTTGTAAAATATTGTCAAAATTTATTGTATGAAGAAGGTTCTTTATTTGAAAGAACAATTATATTATATATATATAAGAATCTCATTCAAGAAAAGTTCTCACCGACTCGAGGCATTTGATAAAGATCGTAAAACTTTTCTTGGTCTGGCTTCCTTATCCATGGCCTGGCTGAATCTATGACAAGTGGTGTATAAATACAACATGACAATCAAATTATGCATACCAATACACTGGCAAAGGAAACAAAGCTCTGTATCATGTATTCTATTATCTTCTGTGCGTGGAAAAACACTGTGCATTATACACCCTGCACACCCCCCCCCCCCTCACACACACACACACAACACACACAAACCACAAACCTTGAATGGACGAAAGGGACAAAAACAGAAAGTCTTTAAGTCCACAGTGCAAATAATTTTTACTTGTACATACAGCTTGTCCTATCACTACCCCACTATGGAGAACAGTAACATGTCTTTCTGGCAGCCATGAGATTTGCCTGAGCTCTTGGCTTACTCTTCTTCCACATTTAACAACCATGGTGTCCTTACCATTCAAAAATACACATAGCACCTCCTGGGATTTTGATCCTTTGACAAAAGACAATACACTCATTCAATCACACTTAAGTGGCCAAAAAGTAAAACCCTCTTTTTGGGGCAAAACGAAAAATGGAAACAGTTATACTTCCCTTCCATCTAACTAAGAATGACATGATTTTCGTATCACTTTAAACTGGTCGAGTCACATATTAACAATGTTTTAATGAATACATTTAAAGAATAAGTTGCAGTATAGTTTTGTAACAAAAGCCCCAACAAGTGAAATCTTTTAAAAGATTTATTAAACGATTTACGATCAAACTTTATTCCTTCATCCTGTGTCAATAGTGAACACACCAGAGTCAAGAAATTGTGAGGAAAGTATCACACTTGAAGTGAAGCAAGAAAAAAAGACAATCCTTTCAGTCTGAAAGAGACTAGCTTCAAAAAGAAAACAGTTGTACCAGCAGGCTCAGTTTGATATCTCATTTGACTGGTTATAATGATGAAAGCAGCATGAATGTAAATCAGGGAGCAGTGACAACCCAGGTTAACAGCATTGTAAAGGGTCAATGCTATGGAAAAATCACACTTTAAAATTCAGAGTGAAACAATATACACAATAACTACAAACATATTTCTCACAGTGCATACATAAAAGAGTGTAGTGAATAAATTGTACACAGCAAACGTAAAACATCCAGTCTTAACCAAATAGAAAAATAAGAAATATACATGCAAAGGAACTATTCCCTTTGTAGGAGTAGGAATGATTGAGTAAGTCAAAAGGAGCTTGTGGATATAATGCCTTTCCTTACAACTCTATAATAGATTTCAAGAACTTCCACACAGAAAGCCACCTGCATGGATTGAAGTTTCATTTTGTGGACTGCACATTCACTCTAGCTGTATCTATGGTCAGTATTCCATTATGCTGACTTTCTCTAGTCGAGCAAACAATGTATAAGGAAATGAAACATTCAATTTTGTATCCCAGAAAAAAAGTGATTGAGATGAAAGATTTCATCTTTTTGTTGGAATTTGTTTAAAAAGATGATAATGACTAAAACCTTTTTAAGGAAGTTTTCAAAAACACCCCAAAGTGCTTTGAGCAGGGGTGGACCTTTCAAGTAGGTAATTTGGAGATTATGGTCTCAGTGAGTATCAGCACCAAGCCTCAAAAGAGTAAATTAAACTTTCCATTTATCACATACACAGTCGTAAAGGTTTTTCAAATTTCAAATGTCTGAGTGCATGTGCGATATTATACTGACAACACCATTTATCTGTTCAAAGAGAAAGAGGAACAATATTCTCTAAATGAACCCATCTATAAACATCAGCTAATATTTGGCCATTTCTCTTGTCCCTCTTTAACCTTATGGTGTGCTTATCAAGCCTCAGAAATTTGGTCTGTCTTTCAAGTAGGCTACACACCTCAAAACAACTGGAATTTTTTTTAAAATATATTGTTCCGCTAGGATTTTTTTCTGCTTTGTTGTCTTTCAAGTCAACTTCGTAAGCAATATAAGTGTGAAACTAAACTTCAATATAAAATAACCAAGGGACTGAAGAAGAAAGATTCAAGACATATGTATCCAAAACCATGAACACTGTTACTATCTACCAAACGTTGATACTATTCTCATATGAGCGCACCACTACCAGATCCCGTCTAAGAGCTCCAAACTAAATCAGAAAGTGCATATTACCCACAACAAGCGTTTGTGAGCAGAAAGAGCCATACGAAATGTTCCCTCTCCAAAGGATGAGCACATCCACTCTACTCTCTGTAAGTACAGCCAGTGCAAGGTGTTACATAATTAATGGGAAACATCAAAAGCACAAAGTTGCACTCGATTACTCAACTATTTTATTTCCCTTGATTTCCGAGACCTTCCACGACAAAGGCAGGTAAATAGGCATATTGAAAAGAACACAAAATGGCCAGACATAAACAGGGAACCCTTCAGTCAGCACAAGGACACTTGAACAGTGGAAGTCTTTTTTTCCTCATCAAACAATAGCCTACTTTAGAAATAAATCAGAATAAAGCTCCCTAATTTTTTTTACCTGAGTCTGACTGATGTTGCGTCTCACTACATTTTTGACAGACTATCTACAGTTTATACAATATTTCTTTTTCAGTTGAGCCAAAATACATGCAATAGCTCTATAACATGGATGACTGAAACATCCTATTCAGTCTAAAGAAATGTTTTTGGGAAAATGTTCAAGACAACATTTCCTCGAGTGAAAAAGGATTAATAATTCAAACAAGAGCATACATCTGTGGCACACTACTATGAATATGTGAATACATAATATCAAAAAGGAAAATTATTTAATAAGGATTATTGAATAGTAAATTAAAATCTCAGAATCTCACAACAAAAAAAGAAGAGTACAAGATTATATCTGAAAATTAAAAAAATACCTATATATACATGGCCAGTAGGGAAACTAACATGAAGTGCTCCAATGATTAAATAAGTGGAGGTCAGTCGGACAGTAGTAGAAGAGCAATGCATTTCATTCTATCAATAACAAGCTGAAAGCACTACAATACAATTTTCTTTCTATTAGGTATAAGTGGATACTTTATGACTTCACTGCAGAGAAAAAAAAAAAGGATTTACCTGAAGAAAGCATGATGCTCAACACAACATTTCCACAAGTGCTTGCATGCGGCTTTGGTAGACAACTCAAAAGCGTAAGTGTGCTCGTCATTCTAAACAATAATAAGAAGACATGCAAGCCATCATAAGGAAAGAAGAAAAATCACACGTCACAAAATTTAACTGCACGGGTCCTGAAAGAAAAGAACAGCTCTGTGGCAAAATAAGTCAAGTTCTGCAGCTAAAAAAATCCCCATACTTTTGTACTCTCACCTCAGTTCAAAATGGTTTTATTAAACTAAACATTATTTTCAACAAAGAGAATGCTGAACTAAAGAACATGAATTGGTTGGTTTTTTTTTATACTGTCCAGAGACAGTAGCTTCAGGGAAGATGAAACAACAAGTCATCAGCTTTTTTTCCCAGACTTACTTAGTGCAAAACAAGTTTGTCATAGTACTAGGGGTGTGAGAGGAGTCTAGTATTTATCCCCTGTGAGTACTGGCTTGAGTAGTTTTTAAAAACTCTGGTACTTACTTGAATCAAAGACATCTGAGCACTCGGATAATTACAGGAGTATTTACTTTTTTCACCCAGTGGGGGCTAACAGTGGGAACAAAGGATTTACAATTTTCATTGTCTTTGCTTGTTGCCTGGTTGCATCTCTTTATTTTTTTCTGTTTTTTTTTGGGGGGGGGACTCTTCAAACCATCTCAATGACTTCACAATTTCTGGAGTTTTTTCATTATTAATATTTTTCTCTTTCTGCTTGTGTATCTTTGTCAACTAATTGGTAAAATTTAATTTAGGTATTTGGGAAAGAATGATACATCAAGCGTATTTTCATGATTCGAGTACTACAGTACCCACTTGAGTATTTCATAATGACTCGGCCTCGAGCCCAAAGTGCGGAACTCGCACACCCCTACACATTGTGCTTTATTTCTAGGTAATGGGCTCATTAGGACAGTAAATATGGATGATTGAACTATGTAAAATGAATACATATTTTCCTTTTTTCTTCATCTTTCCTTAACAAAATTTAATACTGTCAGTTTTCGAACACATTCTTTAGCCAGCAACATAAAGAAAAACAGTACTATTAGTAAGCCTATCAGTCATATCGAAATGTGTTTGTGCAAGTTCAGAGGATTTAAACCCTTAAAAAATGCATTCTCCATCAAATTCAAGTAGCTGTGATATAGTAGACCAATTTTGAATAGAATTTTCCGGCCTCTGAACACTGAAAGAATATAAGTACCAAAAAAAAACTGAGCCACCCTCTTTTAGGCTGGCAATGCAGCACAATAAATGGAAACAGAGGTTTCACAAAACATGAAACAACAAAATCATAACAGAAAAAGAACCCCTAGGAGCATCACAACTTGACACAACATAAAACATGTACGACACAATAATACACAACTGTCCCATAAGAAAAACAAAGCAGTCTGACACACAGAAATACCTAAATTCATTGCTCAACAACCTCAGATACCCACCATCTTAATCAAACTTGAATATTTCGAATAATACGCAGTTAAATAAATAGGAAGGTTTCAGTTTTGTGCCTTGCACAGAGCCTCTAAGACAATGTCCATCTCCGACAGATTGATCGCCCGTGCGGGAGACTTGAGGGATAGAGCTTTGGGAGAATGTGAATTAGAGTCATGATGTAAGTTATTTAGAAGGTGGTTTTAGATTTAGTCTTAGTAAGGTTTCACGGTGCTCGTAATTGCACATTACAAGGCTGAAAGTCTGAACTGAGGTGTATAACAGTAAAAAGTTATACAAATTTAAGACGATTTAGGTTCTGAAAAGCTGAGGCCCAGTCAAGTCGGGCATTTCAACAACTCTACTGTCAACACTTCCCGAATAATACACGACAGTTTAGGGCAAAAATAATAGAAAGGTGGGGGAAAAGAAGCAGTCATTCCAATTGCCATCAGCTCTAAAATTTGAATGTCTGAAGCCCGTAAGCAATGCCTTATGGACGCAAATTTTTTATTTGAAAAGACAAAGGCATAGCACATGCAGAGGAAAAACGACCAGGATACATATATGTATCTGTAAGAACAAAACACTTGAAAAAAAGTCGGCTGGTTCAGCACTGTCTGATATCAGATGATCACAGCTGGTGCAAGCACATTATCCAGTATTCTTATCATGCCACAAGAGCAGGAAGGACTTGAAATCTTTTTTTGAAATTTATCCATCTTCAAGCAAGGCATTCACAAAATTCCTCAGCAAACAAAACTTGCTAAATATAGCAGACAAATAAAAAAATTATAAAAAACCCAGAGAAACAAAATAATGAAAACCCATAAACAAATGATACTTACACTTTTATCCTTCACCTTGACAATGAAAGTCTTCCCTTTAAACGTAGCCTTTGTCACTCTGGGCCTGAAGGAGGAGATAATATCCAAATCATTTACATAAAAAGCCGTAAGTTCAGTTGGTCCACAGAGATTAAAATTAAAGTGATAACGTTATGATAATGAAAGCCTACACATAAATAGATATCATACCTTACTCAGCTAAACAGAAAAAGCAGATGAGTCTTGAGCTAATAATTTGTTATTTTTTAACAGGAACATCATACATACATCTCTGATTCATTGTTTATTTGTGCAAGTTAATACAAGGGGAAGTGAAAGCAAGAGTGTAAACTCAAAGTAAAATTGAACAGCACATGTTGAACAGGGTGAAAAAACAAAACATTTTGAGCATGTCATGGCAAGAAAAGTTGAAATATTCATATCATATCATAAACAGAGTATGCCACTGTACTGCAGTTTGCATGAATATCAACATTCCCCTCTAAGTACAGTCAAACCTGTGTAAAAAGACCACCCATTGTCAAGGAGAAAAGTAGCCGTATAACACAGGCGGCCGTCTTAGGCAGGACTGATCAAAATGAAGAAAGCACATCATTCTCTTCTGAGGTCAAAATGGGGTTGATCTATAGCATAGTACTGCCATAAGGAGAATTCAAAAGGGCTTTTGTTTTCTTTTGAAAAAGGGGGATGGGTGGCGTAAGAAGGGTTTTTTATTGCGTTGTTGGTTTTTTTATATTTTTAATAGCTTTCTTTTAGTTGCTGATTTTGTGCAAGCGAAAAATAACGAAATATGTAAGTAAGACGATGAAGACAGAATGCCACGGTAAAACAAACACATGGGTCGCCACCACTCGGAGAACGAGTGATGCTTCTGCCGCAAGTTCACATTCGAATCCATTGTTGCTTTGTTACAGATTAGGTAAACAAAACAGTGACCAGTCACCTCACAAACGATTTGTGCATGAGTTATGGGCGGTGCTTATTAGGTTATGACGGATCACGATTCCCTCACCAGCAGTTGACAATTTATTGTTAAGCCTACCCGTTGGTCAACTTGGGTAAACATTCATTGGAGGGATTAACAATAACGACAGGTGAATGAATTATGAAGTCCTGTCCACAGCGTGAGGGGCTAATTCAAAATTAACAACAAAGCGTCGGGCAGTGAGAGACCACACCTGGAAGCCTGAAGCAGGTAAATTTGACAGTGGGTTGATAAAATAAGGTGGCCACGGCCGCGTTGGACAGATGACTGTTTAACACAGTTAAATTATGTAGAAAAAATGCAAGGGGGGAATGGAAAGCGGCCGTTTCTACAGGTGGCCATCATGGCAGGTTCAATTGTATACGATTAGCGAAGAATCAATCAAATTTTTTAACTCTTTATCTCCGGCAAGCCGCTTGCGGTCAGAACCACTGTGCCGGTGAGCCGCTGACAGCGGTTCGGGCACATTCCTTTACGACGACTTCGACATCAAATTACTTTTCGGCAATTGCGGAAAACAGGTCTCATATACCGGAAGTTTATTAATTTGATGAAGAACTATCAAAATAGGTTAGCTAGTTTCGATTTAATGACCTATTTAAAGACGTTTTTGTCATTTTTAGATTTAACAACAAAAAAGGGCCCCAGCGTAGTGGGTTTATCCCCCTCGGAGATAAAGAGTTCAAGTCTATTATTGTACAATCAGAAACTAATGCAGTATGATGCCTTACCAGAAGTAACTTGCCACTTTCATTTTGTGCTTGTAGACAACAACTCCTGTTGGGGTGAGGCCAAGAAAGTATTCAACAGCACTCTCTCCCTGAGGGATATTAGAAAAATAGAGTAACAAATAATTTTCATGAGGACAAAACTAAAAGAAAGTTCAACCCGTTAAAAACAATTAGAATCTTAATTCACAAAACAGTGAAAGATAGTGTCTGTTGTAAGCAATAAAACATAAATAATATTTTTTTTAAACATAAACAGCTAGATGATGTAGGATAATACATATTACATAAATATAAAAAATGTTTACAAAAAAGGCTAAAAGAAGGCCTATAAGAAAAATTTATATACCTACCTGAACAGGATGGAGATCGACCCCGTACATCTCAAGCCACTTCACCTTCTCTAGGAACCTATGCTCAGCCATGAGAGGAGTAGCACCACTAAAAAAAAAAAAAAAGGGGGGGGGGGGGATTAGATTAGAAAAAGGAAATTCATCAAACAAGGAAGTCCATGCGTAACCAGTATCATTTTGATATGTCCTTACTGCACATTAAACATCCCCCTTATGGAGAAAACAGGTTTAATCTGACATCCAATCTACAGCTTGTTCATTTTCGACTGACTGCGTAAAAAAATTCTAGCCCATTGAGGAATTACCTATACCCACGAAACTTAGCATGGCACTTCTGCAGGATAGCGACCAAACAAAAATATATTTTTAAAAAATCTTGACCCAGTAATAAAAAAGTTTTTCTCTTTGGGCCCTATATTAAAAACGGCTCTTTGGATGCATACACAGGATCACTAAAATAAATGACTGACAGAAGCCTTGCATAAAAATTGCTCATTTGGAGACAGGGACACCGCCCTGCCCCAACATTTCAGTGTTAGCTTGTCGATTTCATCCCTTGGCTGTCTAGACATCTCCACGTGCTCCACTTGAGTCTAGAAAAAATACCGACCCCGTAACTTGAATCGTGTTTCTTAGGCACATGTTAAATTAAAGAGTGGTGTTGAGGAAAATATGTCAACTTTTAAATGTCATTGGTATATGCTGTAAATCCCCTATTATTTTTTTTACCTGCTTCAGGCTTACATCAAAGAAAATGTGTCGGAACCTTAGTGTTCAGTGACTTTTATGAATGGGCTTTTACATTTTGTTGGTCGTTTAACTTTCAGACCACATGTAAAGACCCAGAAAGATTAAAAAGAGCAATTTGTCTTTATCCCGTTTTAACAGCTGTCAGTGAACAAGCTATAGTAATCTTTCCACAGTTGATATAACCAGATGCTGTTGTCTGCAATAAAATTCTATAGTTAAGTGTATTATTATTCTCATTGAAAGTTACTAGCAAGACAACAGGAATTTTAACTGCCAAAATTCATTTGTGACTTATGCGAAATGAAAACAACCCAAAATATTGGCAACTTCCAGAGAAGGAGGTTATCAGTTTTTGGGCAGTAAATATCCAGTAATTGATAAATGATTAGTATTAAGTTTACAACAAAAAAAAAAGAGTTCACAAACTTCTTTTCCATTACTGATCACTTACATGCATCTGCGGTGGATAGCAGCAATTCTTGCTTCCAGCTCTTCACTCTGATTTGGAACAAAGCAAAACTCTGACACATAACCAGCTGTGTGCTGACGAGGAACAAAGTCACCAAGTTCAGCTGTTGGAGCAAAAGAACAAACAAGAAAGATAAAATGATCACGCACAGCACTTCATATTAGTCTCAAATTGTTGTAAGGGGAGCAAAAAAATCAAAATATTAAGAATATCATGAGGAAAATGACAATTTTTTAATTAAAGCAAGTACTTCAAATAAAGGTGTCTGTAAGACCCATTACTTGTACCGACCCCAAAAATAACTTCCATTTTCCGTACAAATACAATATTATGAATATAATAAGAACAGAAACCAAACTCATCTTTACTTGAAAGGAGATTTCAAATACTCCAATCAAGAGAACAAAAAAGACACACCCGAGAAAAGGTCAACAAATTTGAAAATACTTCAAGCAACAAATCCACCACAGGCACCCAAATTCAAAAATGCAAAAATTCTTAATTGGATTAAAAATACTGATACTCTAAGTTTCCCATTCAAATCAAATATTTAAGCACACACTACACAACAACTGGTAAAAACCACATTTAATCCTTCCTTACATTGCACAGCATAGGCACACAACTCTGATGCTTCCTCAAAAGTCACTGGTAGTCGCCCTTGCAAAATGTCACGCTTTATTTGTAGGAAAAACAGATATCTGTGGACAAGGGCAGAAGGGTGGTAATAATAGAAATAGCTAATTAGAAAATTTTTTGCATATTGCGATAGTTGAAGGGGTGAGTACTTGTAAGGGTACACATTCAGATTTAATTTAATGGCATATATGATAAACATTGTTTTTGTTTTTTTATTTCTACAAACAGTACACATAAGTCAAAGCACTTATTCATGATAAATATATATAATCTGTCATAAGTGTATTTTTCTTACCTTGTAATTTCTTCTTTGAGTTTACAAGGGTCAGCAGCATAAAACTTGACGCAGAAGTAAACCTTGAAAGGTAATGCACAACCTGCAGTAGAAATGAAACATATAAGTACACACCACTTTTTACAAAAAAATTTCCCATGCCACAAGGCACATTGATTTCGAATAAATTTTGAAAAAGGAGACAGGTTAGAGAACTTTAGGTTCATGTTACTAAAAGAGATAAAGAAAACAGACTGTCAATCTAAATCACTTTCATCATCCAAGGAGGAAATTCATACAATTACATCTGAGGAGAAATCTTGATATCACACTCGAACGACCTCAATAATTGTCACATGTACCATCGTCAAGGAGAAAACTTCAAAAAGACCTGGCGGCTTAATTCTTTCGGTATGTAAGGGATCCCACAATTTAGCGCACCCAGCGGAAAAGGTGTTACCTTAAAATGGCGATAATCACTTAAATATTAATGTTTGTGTGAGCGCTTAGAGTATTCGTAATTGGACAAATAAAACACAATACTGATGAAAATAGGTGGTAAAAGTAGCACAGGATCAGGTGTAGACCTTGGTGTTGACAAAATCAGCACCCCCAAAACGCCACTTAAGTGGCAAGCTGGTGAAATGCAAAACCAAAAACACCACTTAAATGGCGAGCCAGATTCAAAGAGTTAAAGTAAAGTTGCATGCACGAACCACAAGGTAATTTAATTTAAAATACACACACATACCTTTTACTTGAGATGATAAAGAACGGCTTGGATCAACCCAGTGCTAGAGGACAGAAAAGAACATTCACAATGACTCATAAGCATAAGGAGGTAAATTATACTTTAGAATACCAGAAGCACTCACAATCTTATATAATTATTCCATAAGAATAACAAAATTATACTATCTGAGGGAAACATAAGTCTTAAAAAAAAAAAAAGTAAAATTACTTGGCCCCTTATAAATGAATACTTTAGTTTAAAATTAGTCAGTTATTTAACAAAAACAGACAGTTCATCAGAATCTCAATGAAATTGACAAATCCTCAAAAACAGCTCATTAACAAATCTGTTTCAAAGTAGTAGCTATGACACCATAACCTTTTTACATCAAAATTCAGGGAACAAAATGAAAGTCTTCTCACCACTTGTCCAGTGTCATCAACAAAACGAAGGCCAAAGTAATCTTTCTCCAACAAATTGATCATATCACAAGCAATGTCCAGCAGCATTTGACCTTTCCAGTTATTCTGAGGATAATAAACATCATAAAGTTTACTAGAAATTTGTTACGGAGTCACTGATAGCCCTGAAAACAGACAAATGAAGTGAGAGTGATGAAACATGTACACAGAAAGACAAAGCTTATGAGATTCAGCTTAGCAAACAAGGAGGGAAAAATAGAACAGGTCAATAAATAAGACCTCTCTCCATTCTTTAAATTTACTATTTCATGTCTTTTTTTTTACAGAAAAATCCCATGGAAAGAACATACATTTTTTTCAAAAGTATAGCATTCAAACATTTTTTTAGCTGACATGATAAAAAAAAAATAAATACAGAAAAGGTGAATAAAAAATTACAAACAATGCACACTTAGTATAAGATTGTCAACTTTTTACTCTATTAAAAATCCTTCTGTTTATCTGTTTCTATTCTTACATCATTTTCAGTGTTTTGCAATCACTTAGTTACCCACATCACAACTAACATTGGGGTAGTCCCTTGGTCCCCAATACGAGTCATCATTCAGCCAATGTTGGAGGCCTGTACCTCCTCTCTATAAACCACGGTGAGCCATGGAAGAACAAAATAGACTCAAAACAGGTTTGAGAGCAAAGATTTCTTTTCACCATTCTAACTTTCTGTATCCACTTTCTAACTTGGCAGATCCAAAAGTCGTAAGGGCAGTACAGTCAGTACCAGAACTAGCCCACACCTACCAATTGAATTGTACAGAGAAATAAATACTAATACAACAAGTTGTAAAAGCATAAAATCGTGTATAAACCTTGTAGGAAACCCTTTGCTCAGTGTCATCCAGAAAAGACATGAGACAAACTGGTCCAAAACTGTCCGGAGATTTGCCATCTGTTTTATCCTTGTTTCCACTTCGAAAGAACTTGGGGATAAGCCTCGAAAGCCTCCCCCCTTTCGACATCTTGGCAATTTGAACCCTTTGTCTATTTCATGTTGCACAGGTGGTCAATTGGATGGGCCATATTCTGGAAAAGAAGTTCATGACAAAATCTGAGTACCTATAGTATACATTATAATTTTTTATTTAAAAATAATCTAGTAAGAAATCGTTTTCTCAAAATTAATAGTAACCACATAAAATTTGTCTCTCAAAGGAAGTTGTCTACTCTGCAAATGAAAAATATTACGAGTAGATATGATAGTATTTTAATTACATTTTAAAAAATATTTTTTTTTAAGTTTAAGGTGGGGGTGGGGGTGTTAGGGTTTACATTTACTGCAACCATTCTTCAACAGAAAAATTTTTAATGCAAAAAATCAGTTTTAAGAAAGTTACCTCTCTGCATAAAAAGAAGTGTCTTTTCTTATCAATCTCCTGCGGCCATAACTTTTTTTAAAATAGAAAAGCCGGCAAGCAGCTCACACTCACAAGTGGAAGTGGAGCTTTTGAATTCTCAAAATGAGACAAACTTAATTTTCTATGCCAGAACTGGTCTCATCGACCATAACGGAAACATTAAAAATTTTTAAAGTCATCTCAACCTTTACTACTATTACCTTTAATTCTTTATTTAAATTACGCTTTATATTCTGCTCTGCAGATGCATTGGATGGTCATTGTCAGACATTAGCAGATGAATTATTGAATTATGTATTATAATAATTTTATTAGCCTCGATCAATATCAATTGTTAAAAATATGATTTAAAGGCAATTAGGCCTCCGCATAAATTATAAAAGTGGGCCTTTTGAAAGACAAGAAGCTACAGCGAGCACCAAGCACACCTCTGTGATTGGCCCAAATGTAGATGATGTATTTCCGCCACCTATTTTTGTCATCTTCCGGGGTTTCCCCCAAGACTCTTGGGTTTCTCATGCCAGTAACTGTTGACTAGATCTTGCCGTGTTCGGTTTTTTGTATTAATTTGTGTTATGTAATAAACAATCTCAGCAATTCTCGTTCCATAAATTTACCTTCTCCTCAAAGTTATACACACACACACACGCGCGCGCACACACACGGCCCAAGCAGTCCGCGATGAAACCTTGTGATGTAGCCCATCGCGCACTTAGCGGCAAAGCGGGACTGCAACGTTGAGATCTAGTCAATAGGCAAGGGAAGCCCCCGTAGACGACAAAAATAGATGGCAGAAATACGTCATCTAATATCTAGGTATATATTTGGGCCAATCACAGAGGTGTGCTAGGTGCTCGCTTTAGATTCATGTTTGTGAAAGCCGCTGACAGAGTATCTAAACAGTCAACATACATCATGACACTAGTTTAGTGTTCAGTCTAGCCCAGAGAGGCATCTGACACTTCACCACAGGCAGACTGACTTTTTCTACACACAAAACCAAGACTAACAAATCTAAATCTAGATCTAGTCTAACAATTAAGACACTAAAAGATTTGGTAATTGTTCCCTTTCTAGCGTTAAATTCCGGCTGCGCCAAGATCTAGACGAAACTCTATGCATCCACGACTGCATATATTCAAAACTTTGAGCTGGAGTGAAGTAAACAAGAAGTAAACCACGGCAATTTCATCATTTGTAGGTAGATCTAGTCACATACTGGCTTTTTAAGCCTTCCATACTAATTTTGAATAGAGTTCAGAGTGCTCGCTCGTTACTGAAGTCCTCCCCCGGAATTAAATGCGAGAAAGTGAACAATTACCAAAGACTTCTCACTTCTGACTGTCTTCAGTCTCATCAGTCTTGTGTGCATAAAGGGCAATTGACAATTTGAAATGTGCAGTGGCTACGTTCACAGCGCCCTGAATGCAGTTTGCAGGTGCTGTTGAGGCTACATTCACGGCACTCAAGCTTCGTTTAGACGGAGTGTCTACTGCCATTTTAGTCAGTGACGACAGTGACGTATTATATTTAATATTTTGGCCTGCTTCAAGCGTTCCATCCCATGACAAAAAGGAAAACGAAGCAGTGGTCCTTGACCGATCGATCACTCGTCGATTTCCCTTACACTGAGCTCTGGCTCAGAGCTCGCCAGTGTGTAAGGGAAAACGACGAACTCTCAATTACGCAAAAACGCATTAGACTTTCACAAAAAAGTATAGACCTACCAAGAAGTTTCAATTGCCCTGATCTCGTGTCCGGGCGAGACTTGGGCGCGACCTTTTGTTAGCGTGTGACGGCCTGTGATATACGAGCATAAACAAAGGTTCCAGCACTCTCGAGCTGAAAGCATGCAATTTTGTCTGCGGGCAGTGTGTGTGTGTGTGTGTGAGAGAGAGAGAGAGAGAGAGAGAGAGAGAGAGAGAGAGAGAGAGAGAAAGAGAGAGAGAGAGAGAGAGAGAGAGGGAGGGAGGGAGGGAGGGAGGGAGGGAGGGAGGGAGGGAGGGAGGGAGGGAGAGAGAGAGAGAGAGAGAGAGAGAGAGAGAGAGGGAGAGAGAGAGAGAGAGAGGGTTGGGGGGGGGGAGAAAGAGGGCAGGAGAGACAGACAGAGACAGAGAAAAATAGAGAGAGAAGGGGGGGGGGGGAGAAAGAGACAGAGAGAGACAGAGAGAGAGGGGGTGTTTGTTATTATATTATGATAAAAGAATAATTGATTCCCATTCCCGTCATTTTTTCTCTCGGCATCGGTTCCTAGGCTGACTCGGTGCAATACCACATTATTGTACACACATTTTACGTGTTTCCCGTATTCAATTTCCCATCCCGACTTTAAGGGCTTTCGTTTTCTTTCATCTCAAGGGTTGGAAGACTTGAAGCTGGCCAAAATATTAAACACGTCACTGTCATCACTGACTAAAACCGGCTGACTTAAACCAGCAGTGGACGCTTTAGACTTTAGTTAGCGCCATGAACGTAGCCTCAATAGCGCCTGCAAACTGCTTTCTGCCACTGTGTTTGAAATAAATAACATAAATTTGTCCTCGTCGTTGTTGAACCTCGACCAGAATATATTGTAGATCTAGGTCTAGATCTACACATAATCAAATCTAGAATCTAGATCTAGATTCTAGATCTAGATCTAGAAGAAGAACCATACAATTCGTTCAGAAAGAATTCTTGGCCTATGCCTATCACACCATTCAAATTTTACTTTTTTCCCCAGAGGACTTAGAACTAGAATCTAGATTCTAGATATCTAGATCGCTACGGTCCACAGCCCCCAAAAGTGTTAAAGTCTGAGACCGATCTGACAAAAATTTAGATTTCTACAAATCAAGTCAACGACAAATTCAAATGGGAGTTGTACACAAAAAATAATAAAGGTTCAAAATAAACATTGAATTCTCTACAATGTTCATATATGCCGACTAGATTCTACAGTAATAATCCAGGACCCAGTTCTGCACTGCAAGCACAAATAAGAGTACCCCTCTGCTGCACTCACTGCCAAACTTTTCAATGCAGAAGTGTAACTTATTAGTGTTTTTACTAGATCTAGATTACCATTGAAACTTGTTCAGAGTTCAATACTCACATAGTAGGCTACTGCAGTTTGGAATACGGAAGAGGAAGTGTACACAATAAAAGTGATACAAGTCATGGTTGCCAGGTAAAAGTTTGGGCCTTTGTCGGCCAATCAAAAATAATAAAGGTACGACCGGTTCAGCAGAAAGGGAGGCCAAATTATAGTCGAGCAAACGTACAATGCGGTCAACGAAATACATGTAGGCCTACATAAATCATATAAATGACTGTAGTAAGCAGAGAAGGAGAAGGAGAGGAAGAAGAAAAAATAAAGAGCATTGGGGGAGGGGGCCGAGGACAAGGATGAGAGAAGAAGAAGAAGAAGAAGAAGAAGAAGAAGAAGAAGAAGAAGAAGAAGAAGAAGAAGAAGAAGAAGAAGAAGAAGAAGAAGAAGAAAAATAAA